CATCTTACATGAAATTTGGGCATATTGTTAGGGGGGGTGGGCTAGTCCTTGGGAAATGATGGAGGGTCAGAGAAAGAGAGGAAGACCTTCAATAAGATGTCCTGACACAGTGACTATAACAATAGGCCTGAGAATGATGGAGATTGTGACAGTGACACAGGACAAGGTTCAGATCTGTTTGTTATACGGGTGCTAAATCAACAGTACTAACAACCACCACCATCAGTACCTAAGAAAGAGGGCACAAAGGTTAAGACACAGTTACCAGTTACACAGATGGGTGAAGGGTTGAAGAACAATGAATACCTCTATCCTAGAATTTGGTTCCTAAACATCACTCTCCCCCAAATGCATCCAACCCTTTGTATTATTTTCCTACCTTTCCTCTAAAAAATAATTTTAAAAAGTTTTGAAAATATCCACTCTAACAAAGCTACCTGAAGTAAAACAAAACAAAACAAAACAAAACAAAACAAAACAAAACAAAACAAAAAACAACCCAACAAACGAAAACACACACATTTTCCAAAACTGAAGCTATGGAGCTCAGATTGAGTGTATTTATTTACTGTAATCTCCAAAATAATTTCAGTTGGTCCAACTGTTTCTTAAGACCATATCAATGTCAGGCTCAGAATGGAATTACAACCAATCAAGCAATTCACAAAAACACTTTGAACAACAAAACATGCTTGTATGGTTTGGACAAAGATGCTTCGAATATGTGTACAGTGGAATGGGGCACCACACAAAACTCTGAGGTGATTCTTTAAGTGCCTATGTTCGGCTCTCTCATGACCCATGTGCGTCTCCTTTCACTGATTCTCCAAGTATTAAAGTAAAATTTGTAATGGCACAGCTTGCTTTCCACTTGAATTCTAACGTGTCTTTTTCTAGGTGATTTCCTTAGGAGAGTATAACTATGCACACTTTTTTTTGGGAAAACATACTGCTTAGGCTTTTTACTTTTCTATTATACACTTCAGTTATGGGTTATTTATTAAAGACTTTTTTGATTTATGTGACATTTTAAAATGTACCACTTAGTGGGGCAAAACTCGGAAATACTGACCAATGTCTTGGGTTCCTCTGAAATCAGACTTTTCTGGATAAATAAATGCAGCCTTGCTAGAAAATCTTCACTATGTATAATGAATACATAACTTGGGAGGAACATCAATATTTTGGGCTGTAATCTCATTGAATTTTTCAACACCTTGGCCTGAACTTGCTTATGGGAAAAGAGAATCTCTTAACATCTGCAACTTCAGCTGGTTATACTAGGAGAGGGGTTGGTTACCATATTTCATCATACCTTGTATTCACAATACACCTTCTCACAGAGAAGAAAATTCCTTAAATACATTAAATCCTATTTACAACAATAAAAATTCACATTTTCATGCTTTAGTGAGACATTTAGATCCTCCTGAAGGTGTCCTCATAGTCTATGAGAAAGGAGCCCTTCCAATGCCTGGTCCTCTGTGGTCTGCCAGATAGAAAGCTCCAGATGTTAGGAAAATACCAAGATCTGTGCCATTCTCCAGTCCAGCAGAAGACTGGACTTAACACACAGACGCAACTCCCAGTCACTGGCATGTGGCAGCAAATCAATCCTGTGTCACAGTGGCGACCAGAGGTGCCCTCAGTCCTTGGGACACATGGGAATCGACGTTAGTCTCAGAGGTGCTAAAAGCTGGGACTTTTCTTCTCTCATGTGACAGGCAGGATGTAAGTAGCCCTTCCGAGCACAGAGAAATGCTTCATGTCTATTGCACGGGAGTTTTAGAAAGGTCCTGAAACAGTGCCATTATTTCACTCCTTGCCTCTAGATACACTTCTCTGACAGGCTCAGGGTTTCACTGGGAAACGTGACTTGCAGGGCGTTCGCCTTAGCGGCCGGCCCAGCCCTGCTGCTCTCAGCGGCCTCATCCACCAGCAGGACGCTCTCCGAGTCGTGCCCCTGGGACGACTCTGAGGTCTCGGATATCCGCAGAGTCCTCAGCGACGTGGTGTCCGGCTGGGCCAGGCCCAGGCCAGGCGCCCCCGGGAGCAGATTCCTGCCCCCGAGGCCGTTCTCGCTGAGCTCGGGGAGGTAGAGGAGGGTCTGAGATGTGCTGCTGATCTCCTTGAGCTCCCAGGAGAGGAAGGAGCGCGAGTGGGCCGACGTGGCGGACGAGGGCCTGCGGCTGTCCGAGCAGTGCTGGCCCCCTCGGTCCCGGCGCGCCCCGCCGATGCGGCAGAACAGGCACTTGATCTTCTCCACCACCTTGCTCAGCACGGTCTTCCGCAGGAGGATGTAGATCCAGGGGTCCAGGATGGGGTTCACGGAAGCAATCCGGATGGCCTGCAGATCGGGGTTTTTGCTGATTTCCTTCTCCAAATCCGGCTGGTATAGCTGGTTGATGAACACCCGCACCTGTATGAACGAGAGGACCATGTTTACAGCTCCTTTACACACAGACGCAACGACTAGGCAGCATTAGGTACCAACAGCACGTCATTGGGCTGTCCAGCTAGAACCCCCTCAGAGCTGACCCTCCTGCCATTTTTCAGAGGCTGTTAAGTCACACGGGAGAAGGAGGCCCGTTTTCATTCCACACCCCCAACCAGCGGAGCGGTTGATGGACAACCCCCTCCCCCCAAAGAAACACTGACTTTGGGAGAGCAGCACGATTCCCCACTAACCCACCAGAGTACTGATCCTGAGTGAGAAGCGACTTATAGCAGACCCTCCTGTGTGTTTTCAGAGCCAGGAAACTGCACAGAAGATTGCCCATCTTCTTCCCTTAGAGCCGCTGGTGGATTCGAACCTCACACCTTTGCCTTCCTAGTAGCGCAATTCCTTACCACTAAAGCACCAGAGATTAACATTAGGTAGCTACCCTCTTTCTGGTGCTAAGTGCCAAGAAAACAGTAGACTTCAGGAAAACCACTGATATTGCAACTAGATTTGTATGTCCCTTCAAGGAGTCCCTGTGGCCCAATAAAAAGGCCTGGGGGCACAATGTGTAATATACTGATCTGTTGCTAACTGAAAGGTCAGTAGTTTGAATTTGACAGCTGTTGGAAGGGAGAGAGATGGGTAGTCTCCTCCGCTAAAGGTTTTACCACCTCAGAAACCCAATGGTGGGTCACTAGGAGTTGGAGCTGACTCGATGGCAGCATGTTTTACCAATATGGTTAGTGGCTCTCAGCTGTAAGCTGTTAGAACCCAGCATTGGTTTTGCCTAGGAGACCCTATGCAGCTGTGGTCAATTCTCTTGTTAGGCGGGTTTGCTGAGTTAGAATTGATGCTGCACAAAAGCACAACTTCACTGGTTTCTGCAACTATCTTATGTCCCTCTTCCCATCCCCCCAAAGCTATTATGTGTGTGTGTGTGTGTGTGTGTGTGTGTAGGTGATATAGACATAAAACCTTCATGAGAAACATTTCATCATTTTCTGTGACTGCTTTATCATTTTTCCTCATTTAGATGGAGTATCTGCCCCCTCTGTACCAGCCCCCCCAGCTGCTGCTTGTCCGGTTACTATGGAATAAATTTTAAAAGAAACTCATTTTATAAGTTATCAACTAATCAACAGAGAAAGAAAAGCCTAGGGATTCCTCTTCAAAAAAGAACAGAGAGAAATACTATTGGAAAATTTTAAATCAACATCTAAATTCCGTCTCATCCCAAATAACTGGAGAACAGTTGGGATTTTTCCAAAATGCTAATGCTTGTCCCCCAATTACAATAAGCATTTGATGTTACCAACTCTTTCTCCAACCAAAGGCATTCTCCAATCCATTGCTTTTTAGTGCATTTGTCACTTGGGTTATTTGCATCAGTCACCAAATTGGTGCTCCCACTTCTAAGTCCTCTCCTCACCACCCATCCTTTATCTGCCCCCAGAAGGTGATTTCTGAAACACAAATTTGGATATGCTACTTTGCTGCTAAGTGTTCAGTGGTTATTTGCTTCTGAAAATCTGTAGTTTTGATCACCATCTCTAAAAACTCTCAGTGAATCCATCCTGAAACTGCAGTCAGTATCAGTCCCTTCCACATGCTTACTAGAGCCAAAACCCAACAAATACTAACAGAGCAGGAGAGAGGACAGCTCAGTGAAGCTTGAGAGCGGCAAAAGGCAGGAGCCGGGCATGGTCATATTGCATAAATTAAACCCAGGAAGGCTCGAATGACTATTTTTTTCATTTTAGGCTCTTAATTTTGGCAGCTAAAATTTTTAATTTATATATTCACTTTCTTTTGCGCATTTTACTTAATAATAAGTACTTTATAAGAGTTGGCAATAGTAATAGATTCTAGGGAGGCAGAGTTGCATTGCTGTTGTGTGTGCCTTCGAGTCAGAACCCACCCATAGCTAACCCTCCAGCCAGTTTCCGGAGGAAGTCAGTCACATGGGAGGACACTGCTCATCTTTCTCTTACAGAGTAACAGGTGGATTTGAACAGTGCACCTTTGATATTGCAGCATAAATTCCTTCTTGAGGACAAAATGTAACAGAAAGCAGATGAACTATTATTGCTGCGTCATGACATGAAATGGAAGACACAGTGAATCCAGTTATGTAGAGGACATCGGAAGATGCCTCCAGGGGTGTTTGTGCAGATTGGAAGGACAAGTGTAACATTTCAAGTAGATATAACTTCATGAGTAAAGTTGTGGAGGGATGAAATAATATACCAACATTTGGCAATGTCAAACAATGAAATCAAATGAGTATGTATTTGTGTAACCTGAAGGCATTGTCATTGGATTTCTATGGGAGAAAAAGTACCTATTAAACGCATATTCTCAAATTTATTCTTAAAATACTATTATTATTATATCTTCCAATTCCAGTGGGGGCATTTAAATAAACTGTAGAAAAAAGGTGGTTTTAAGATACTTGCCATCTGTCTTTGTGCTTTTGCTATTTATTATAATTTAGGAACAAGTAAGAGGTGAGTTGCTTTGCCAAGGAGGATACAGCTGACAACATTTTACTAGGGGCAGATATGTCCAACTTTAACAAGACTTGAGGGCACAATAACCTTACCCTACAGTATAATTCACCAAGAAAAGGTTAGAATCTATTTTGTGCTTTCTCTTTGGTAAATCAGGGATGCATATTTTAAAAATATTTGTGATTTGGATAAAAGAAGAAAGTTTAAAGAAATAAATTTAATAAATCTGAAAAATTCACCTTATAAGTATTTCCTGGTTCATACTGGATAAATGATGTTTTATCGATATGTCTATCAATTATCTATTATCTATCTATCACCTGCCTGTCTGCCAGTCTATTATCTATCTATCTATCTATCTATCTATCTATCTATCTATCTATCTATCTATCTATCTATCTATCATCTATCTATCATCATCTCTGGTGGCATGGTTACCTGATTATGAAAAAGTAATCTGAGCTAAGGTAGCCTTTCCTCAGGTGAGGTGTTACTGAGACCAGCAGCCAAGGTCTCACAATCAGGCCTCTTGATTCCCATTGCTTGTTTTGCCTACCAGTATAGATTTATGATTTTATTTAAAAATTACTTTCTGATAGTGGAATTGTTGACAAAAAGGATGAAGTATGTTATTTTAAACAATTATGTTCCCAAGTGTACTTTAAGAGGACTGTCAGGGTCAAATGTGCGGCATCACACCTCTAGGTGGCAGTGTTGCTCCATGTGGAAGTCGTGGCCCCACAGTTCTGGCCTAAGCAGTTTGTCCAGCTTCAAGTGCACGTTAGACATAGAGCCACGGTTCAGGCTGAACTTCTCATTTCTGCGATTTTAACTTTGAATTTTGTTGTTGTTGTTGTTGCTGACAGCTTCTCTCATCACAACCCCAAAGGAAACACGGCTATTATTGAAAAGAGGGAAGTTTTCTGAACAGTTTAAAACGGATATAAAAGGAATGAAATTTGTAGCTATTTAGGAATATATTAGGAGTTAGCATGTTATTTTTAAATTTCTATGACCTTTTAGAAAAGCCAGGACACTTGGTTGGGGTTTTTTGTTGTTGTTGTTGTTTTTTTAGAAAAACCATTAACCTAGTAACAACAATAATGAGGTTTTCATATCAAAGGTGATGAGAGGCAAGGAAAGAGTTCTCTCCTTCCTCACGTAAGCACTGGAGGACTGCAGAAGAGCATGATAGGAGGCAGCCTTCAAAGTATGTTCTACCTGGGATCCCGCTGTGGAAGTTGCCATGGAACCTGGCCACTAAATGCCCAGACTCACCTGGTCCTAAAAACCAAAACCTCCATCGTCTCTGCCTCCCGCTGTCCCCCCATTGCCATCCAGTTGAAACCCACTCATGACTGACTCTACAGAAAGTTTTCAGAGGCTGTAAATCACACAGGAGGAGACTGACCATCTTTCTCCCAAGGAGCAGCTGGTGGATTCAAACCTTCCACCTTTGGTTTGGCAGCACAACTTCCTATCCACTAGGGCACCAGAGCTCCTAAAGGATATGCATATTATCCCAAATCTAAACATAGGTATGTGAATTCTCTAGAGCTGAGCAAATTATTTGCAAAGGATTAATGTCACCTATGAGTTGGCTCTGATGCAACAACACAAAACAACCACAATGCCAAAGTCAAAGAGTTTCTCTTGAGAACATTTTTTTTTTAAATGGAGATTTTACTCTGGGGATGGGGTGGGGGGACAAAAGGTGAATAACAACTCCATCTACTTGTTTGACAAAAATATCGCAACTCCAGCTTCCCTTTGGTCCAATGTCCTGTGAAAGCAAGATTTTTGAGAATTCTTGTCCAACAGGTCATTTGCGCTCCAGAGAATAAACACAACCGGGCAGTTCTCAGTGCTGGAAGGGAGTGCTGTTAACTAAAGGGAGACTCAGAGTCACGGAGCAAACATCTTAAAACCATTCACTGAACATAAAGCACATAAAAGATACATATGCTCCCAGTTTCCAAAGTTAGTCTGTTTCAAAGTAACTGGGTTTGTGCACGTGCGTGCCTTATCACTGACAATGTGAGGATATACATTATTATATTCTAAACTTCCAGAGAATGATCACAGATTCATTTAGAAACATTGAAGGCATAACGCTGGGCATAACGTAAGAGAAAATATGATAAATTCAAAGGAAGACATGATGACAGAAAAGCTTTAAGGTAGGCTAATATCCTGTCCCTGGATGATGCTGACGATGAGTGTGTTTTGTTACAAATTAAAAGGTTAGAGGTTCAATTCCACCCAGAAGTGCCTTTGAAATAAAAAACAACCTGGGGATCTAATTCTGAAAAAAAATGAGCTAATGAAAACCCTATGAAGCATAATTTTACTGTAACATATGGTTCACCATGAGTTAGTGCCCACTTGATAGTATCTGGTCTATCTTGTAGAAATAAAGTTCCAAACTTCAGAATCAAACAGACCTCTGTTCAAATCCTGGCTCTGCTGCTTAACAATTTATTATAAGATAGTGAAAGTACTTAGTGTACTGTCCAACCTGTATGTTGACTGTCGTTTCTTTTTGTGTAACGTGAATGTGGAAACTTGGCCTCTATGGAATATGTCAATAATTTGAAAACCACAGTGTAGAGCTAACTTTGGGCTATGGTTAATGACATGGCATCAAAAACATGTGCTCCCTGCTTAAGAAAAACCCATTGGCAGGGAATGTTTAACTGAAGAAGAATGCAGAAATCTTGATTTGACAGTTTTAGTAATTAACTGTTAAAGTTGTAATGCTTTCCAACAAATGAAAAGATCCTGTAACTGGGTTTGTGTCTGTGTGCCATTTGTTCTGTTCCAAGCACATAAAAAGTATTCTCTGTGTGTGCTCAGCTATCTAACGGCTTTGTGAAGAGTTCTGAATCGACCCTGCTGATACACTTAAGTTCTTAACACTTATTTTTTACACTCTCTTTCTCTCTCTCTCTCAAGAGGCTTGAAAGAAGACTTGTCTAGGTTGAAAGGTGACCAGGCTAGGTTTTTGCTCCTTCTAGGTCACTAACTGATCACTGGGTGCGGGAAAGTTTCTTAATGCAGCATCAGTATCTACACTGAAATTCATTTCTAGAGTATTTCTTTCATTTTAACAGAAACTTTCAGCATTCTTGTAGGAGACTACCAGAATCACTTCAGCTCCAGGGAAAGAAATCTTGTTAGTAGATGTTTACTAAAACTGAGGTCAGCAAAGCATGGTGAAAAGTACTTTCAGCTATGACTCAGCCGCAGGCCCCTGGTCAGTTGCAGAATGATTGAAATTCCTCATCTGCAGTCGAGAAAACGGAGGTGTGCAGAAAGGCTGAACACATCAGGCTGCCCTACTTTCTTCCTGGGGCTTTTCAGATACCAAATGGGATGTGGAAATGTCTCACTTCTACGAGTCACTCTGTAGTCTTTGTAGGGCGTGCTACCACTAGGTGATGAACTAGTGCTTCCAGGAATTGCTAATTTTGAAAAAAAAAAAATCAGCCAATTAAAGAAAATACAATAGCTCATGTCCTGCTGTAAAGTATTCAAACTCAAGAGCATTAATCTTGTATGTATAAATGCTACTTTCACTCATCTGAAATCCATCAGTTGCATTGTAGGACTCCTTTCAGAGCACCTAGAGTAAACAAAAAGTACCTATTTACAAAATTTTCATCAGCTTTGTAAGCCTTGCTGACCAGTGCTGGTGAAAGCGAGTTTATAATGTAGCAACCCAGCAGGTGCTCACAGGAAGCTATTTTTGTAAGGACTTATCCCTCAGGATGTACATTTTATCCAAATAAGACATAAGATTCATTAAACTGGACATTCTGCCCCTTACAGAGATGGGTAGTTGGTACTTTAGAATATGGAAGAAGAAAAGAAGCAAATGTTGTTATGTGTCATCGAGTAGCCTGTGACTCACAGCAATCCTATGTACAATAGCTCTGAGCTCTGCCTTATTGTGAGCCGGTCTCACTGACTCCGACACACCTGGCTTTGGCTGTCTGGTGCTTTGAGGGGTAGACAGACGGGTTAATGCCTCTCCAAATGTTATAGTGCAACTGGCTCTGGGTCAAGAGATTTGATTTGAATGGTTATCTTAACATCAGCAACTGTAATTTAGGCACCAGAAGTGCATGTTAGCACAGTCTTTAACACTGTGACCATCTGAAGCTGTATCTCTTGAATCCTTCTCACCTAAAGCTTCTAATTCTTTTTATTGTAGATTCTCCCTGCAATCTCTCTGTTTATTGACTCGGGGACTAGAGAGACGTTTGCAGGTGTAGCACAGTTCCATATACCCAAAAGCAATTTTTCAACCTTCCTTATATTTCCATTCCATGGGGTTGCTCCACTTAGGAGACTTGTATATTCTGGATTTTAAAAAAAAGTTATTTTGTATATGAAGCTCCCTACCAAATATATTCCAAAGAGTTATTGGAGCTTCCTCCCCGCAGCCCCCACTCCCAACTTTATAACAAAATTTTGCTGCTTTTCCGAAGCCATCCATTTTTGTTTTTTTTTTTTCTTTTCCGAAGCCATCTGTTTTTATGATATATTGGGTCAGCCTTTCTGAAATCCAAGTCAACCAACTCTCTTATACTTGTTTTTCGTAGCATTTTACCCCCTCAAATGTGATTAACAACTCATGACTTGACAAAGTTAAACTAGACACTTTATTCCTTCTTGGAACTGGAAATAGGTTTAGCTGCTTTAACTGTTAGATGGCTCATGAGCTTTAATCTCATAGCACAAACAGGAGAAAGCCAAAATTCATAAGGGAAAATGAAGAATGATTGTGGGTAAGCCCCTTTTTTGTGATTCTTACTGCACTGTGGCTGGATGGGAAGCACAGTGGTCCTTTAACTTATCACTCATGTCCAACTACTTTGGTTCTAAAGTGAGATGACTACTAACCAGAACTAAAGGCTAACATCTGAAGCTGCCACTACTGTATGTATGGCTGCTTATTTCTTACAACACTTGTTATTATTTTCTTCATGTGATTAACTTTTTAGCTGAGTTGGTTTCGATTTTTAATGTGAAGTTACATAACAACAACTATCCACGTCTGACTATATCTTTAATAAACAGTATTTGTTCTTTGTTAAAAGGTGAGTAATTGGTAAATGGCATAGATAACGCCCATACTTTCTTGCCTCCAGCCCCTCAAAGAATTTCAAAGGCTTTCTGATAGGTAGTCCTGCAGCTGGGGGCAGTACTTACTTACCACTGAAGCTCCCTAAGAGGAACTGAGCAGTTTATACCTCTCTAGAAACGGGAAGAAAACACTTCATCTGTAACTGTGTCGGCAGCTTCACATGCTTACTTTCAACCATAACACTGGAAAAGTCTGTGCAGGCTGCTAACCTTACTCTGACTGCTCAGATCCCTCAAGTGGTGGATGTTCTGTAAACACCACTCACTCTGTCATTTACTGTCCTGTAAAACACAAGGCAGCGACCATTCAGATTGGAGTGGGGCTGTTTTTTTTTTTAAACTTCCACTTTATTCTGAGTTGCCATCACAGTTATTGAAACCCATCGATGTGGCTCAAGTGTGAATTAACAGGGTACCTTACTCTGGGTCCTGGAACGGTTTAAAGGCTTGTCTGCCCAACTGTGTTTACTTTTGTTTATATGAATTGGCAAGAAGCTACTGTACACTGGCTCCCAGCCACCTCTTAAGTTCCTTCCCTTTTCAGTCACTTTTATCAGAGATGGAAGATTTGTGCAATAACTATGGCTGGGCCATGTTAATAAGGGACAAAAAGGAATAATAAGTTCAGCAAAATTATTTTCTCAAAGCAGAAAACGCTCATTCTCCGAGTTGATCACTTGGCATTTCCAGGAACACGGTGTTTTTGAGAGTCGGAGAACTGAGAACTAATTGGCTTTCAGTAGAAATGCTGAGGTATTCATTTGCCCATCTGTTCTGGGTACATTCTGTTTTACAACACAGGCAGTGGAGGCAATGAGGTAGTTATAAAGCCTTCCTTTTTTGGCTGATAATATTTGAAAAATTAATCAAAGGCAATTATCAAGAAGGTGTCCTAAAAACAGGAAGTGGGCCCCAAACTGAACTGACACACTTTAGCCCAAATTTGATGTGTTCTAAAAAGGTCGTGATGTAATCTGACATGAGGAGGTTTTCAAGGCTAATGGGCCTAAGGTGTCACCAAAAGCTGTGGGGCTTTGATTTGGCAGTAACTAGATCAACTTCTAAACTTCAAGTTCTCTCTAAGGATTCCAGACCCGGACTACAAGACATCCAGAAGAGCTCCTGAAGCTCTGAAATCAAGCAGCACTCTCTAAGTCCACCCTCCTAGGGAGCTGTGTGCAAGACGCAGCAGCCGTGCACCCACCCGTGCACCCGGAGGAGACTTCAGACAGTTTGTTCTTTAAGGGAGGATGGGCGGTCATGCAGCCTGCTTTCTCCTCCCCATTAGACTGGGGGCGGGTTTCCTGGAGGCCTTAAAGCCAATGCCAGGCCGCCAGAGGCTGGGGTGGCTCCCCAGGGAAAACGAAATCAGGTTTGGGGGGGGAAGGGTGTGGGGGGGCAGGGGGAAAAGAAAGTTTAGGGTCCGCGGAGGTCGGGGCATAGGGGTGAGAGCAGGGATCTGGGAGCTTTCTTAGCCCAAGTGGATAAGGAGGTGTGCTGCGGACACAAAGGTAGGAGGTTCGAATGCACCAGTTGCTCAGCAGAAGAAAGATAGGCCATCTCCTCCCCTGAGATTTGTTGTTGTTCTTAGGGGCTCTCCAGTCCAGTTTGATTCATGTAACCCTATGAGCAACAGAGTGAACTCGGCCCTATCCTGTGCCATCCTCATCATCTTTGACACACAAATGAACCCGTGAGATTTACCGCCTCTGAAAATGCACTGAAGGGTTGACTAAGAGGCGGTTTTGACTGCCCATGCAACCGCCACCTCGGCAGCGGCAGGGAATGGGGCCCTGCCCTCTCTGAGAGGCTGGGTGTGGAGGGCACGCGCAAGGTCGCTGGCAAAGAGGCGTCAGAGCGGAAGCAGCGATAAGGCGGCTGCCGGTGGCTGGGGGCACTCACCACGAGCGGGATGGAGCAGATGAGCACCACCAGGGAGGTGGCGATGAGCAGGATGACCATCTGGATCTCGGCGCCAGCGATGCGTCGGAAGCTCCGCCGCCGCCGAAAGTCCCGCAGGCGCGGCAGGGCCGGGGAGGCGGTGGTGGGGTGGGCCCGGCCGGCGGAGGCCAGGGCGGCGGCGGCCGCGTGGTGCTGCTCTGTGCCCAGCGAGGTGCGGCGCATGAACTGGCGGTGCATGCGGAGCAGCGCGCCGCACACGAGCAGGTTGCAGAGCACGGTGGCGAGGATGAGGAAGGAGCTGAAGCCGGCGTACATGTAGGAGAAGGCGGCGTGCGCCGTCACGTTGGTGGTCCAGTCGATGAAGCACCAGGTGCCGGGGTACTGGCGCCGCGAGCTGCCCAGGCCCATGCTGGGTAGCGCGCAGAACAGCACGTTGGACACATAGACGGCAAAGAGCGTGAGGCCGGCCAGGCGCTTGTCCACGTAGTGGCTGTAGAAGTAGGCGTGGTTGATGGCCAGGTAGCGCTCGATGCTCATGGCACAGATGATGCTGAGCCCCGACAGGCTGAAGAAGAGCAGGATGAAGGTGCTGTACTCGCACAGCGCGTCGCCGCCGGGCCACTGGCCCTTCATGTACGTGGCGATGGTCACCGGGCTCACCAGCAGCGTGCCCAGCAGGTCGGTGACGGCCAGCCCGCAGACCAGCGTGTAGAAGGTCGTCTCCTTTTGCTCCTTGCGCGACTTGCACAGCACCACGATGGCCACCAGGTTGCCCACCACCCCGAAGATGAACATCACCGCCGGGATGGTCACCGAGCTCATGGGACGGTTGGAGCTGAAGTCGGACCCATTGGCTCCGGGGGCGGACATGGTGGTGGCCCGCGGCGCTCGGCCCAGGGTGTGAGGCTGGATCTGCGGGTCGGAGGAGAGAAGAAGGTGAGCGGGACCGTGCGCTTAGGGGGCGTAAAGACCCGCGCCCGGGAAATGGTAGCGAGCAGCCACTTCCCAAAGCGACTCCCGACAAAAAGCCTCATTCAAGGAACATGAGTAAATATTCACGAGCGCGGCCGCCGCTCCCTTCTCCTTCCTCAACCCAACTCTCGCCATTGCCAAGATGAACAGTCCTCCTAGGAAAAGCTCGCTATTGTCATTCTCAACAACGTTGTCAATACAATTCTCATTGAAAACGAGTTAGGAAAAGCTGCTTCAGAGCAAGTTTCGCTACCCAGCCCGCCCCGAAAGCCCCGGGTCACCGCCTCCAGTCCCCTCTCACCTGTTGCAGCCCAGGTGGTCCCGGGGGTGATCCCTCTGAAGTCCAGGACACGCCTCCGAACTGCCCCTCAGCCACGTCCCGCTGAGTCCGGAGCTGGCCAAGCCGTTGCCTTCTCAGGGCCGAATCTCGGAGGCTAATTTTCCGGAACTGGGTTCAAAGCCACTAGCTTTCAAAAAGTTGGAGATCCAGGGGGCACAGGGCACGGCTCAGTGAAAGCCGGTTTTGGATGTCTCCTTTGATCTTCCTTAAGAGCTAAGTCCCGGCCCCGTAGAGCGCGCAGGTGTCCTGTCAGGTGTGTGGCCAAGCGCGCGAGCGCAGGTGACGCCCAGGCTGTGTCCGATCTCCGGCTGCCCTCGTCTCCAGCTGCGGGCAGCACTGGAGGCTACCGGAGCTGACGGTTACCGTAGCTACGATCGCTCCTGGGATCCTGGGGGTGACTCGGGGTCCGCTCAGCCTGGAGCTCTAACCTGGGACCAATCATCTTCCTCTCGCACTGCAGGGTTGCGAGCTCCGCTCTCGCCCTTCCAGCTTCTGCACAAACTTTTTTCCCCCAGCTTCAAATTTCCCTGGCGGAGGCGGAGCCAGGCCGCACGCGGCCCGGGCGCCCATTGGCTGGGCTGGAAGGGGCGGGGCGCAACCGGCAGCCTGGGCTCCGGCAGGAAGCGAGGTGGGGGCGGAGCGAGCGAAGGGCAGAGCCCCGGGCTGCCGGGCCGCGCTGCTCTGCGCCGCAGTCGTGGGGCGGGGGGTGGGCAGCTGCTTGCGTCTTTTCCGCGCTCTCGGACCAGGAGTGCAGCTGCTGGCGGCTCCTCGCCTGCTGGGGCCGGTGGAAGGGGGAGTTGCGCGCGGCTCTCCTGCGCTCGCGGGGCTGGTGGAAGGGAGCCGCTGCGGGCGGCTCTCCTGCGCTCCTGGGGTTGGTGGAGGAGGGCGGCTACCCGGGCTCTCCCACCCTCTCGAGGCCAGTGGAAGGGGGAAGCTGCGGGCGGCTCTCTCGCGCTCCGGGAGCCAGTGGAAGGGGTCGTTGCGCGCAGTTCTTCCATGCTCCCGGGGCTTGGCGCTCTGGACGCGCCCCGCGAGGCGTCCGGCTGATGGCGCGCCGAGACAGTCAGCAAGCTCCCTTGCACTCTGCCAGTCTGCTCACTCCGCAGCAGCGTGACCTGTGCTGCCACCCCTGATAATCCTCGCACTTCCTGCTTGCGGGTGGCAACTCTGGGTTGTGGGAAGGGTGGGCAGCTGCACTGCTCTACCTGAGGACACTTGGCGTGGAATGGTGAAGGGAGGTGGGCTATGTGTCTGGACGAGCGAGCGCGTGCTCCCAGAGCCGACTTGAGTGCGCCCAGCTGACGTGGGTGTTGATGGGTAGGTGGGTGTTTGGGTGGCTACACAAAGAAGAATCAAACCTCTCACCATAAAAGGAGTTAGTTGGCAGTGCCAGGTCACATGGCGGAGTCGAGCGGCCGAGGAGAGAAAAGGCCCGCCCGTATGGCTGTGCTGGTGGGGTTGGGACGGCTGCCTGTCTGTTTTTTCCAAATGCAGAAACTTGTGTCTCCTGGGGAACTTCTCCCAGAGCCCCCGAGGAACCCTGAGGAACCAGGCTACCACGTGGCTTTGGCCCTGATCATGGTGTTTTGTTTTTTTCCTTAGCATCATTCCCCTTAATCCCTTGAAAGTGAAAGGGAGATTTTCATAAAGGGATTCTTCAGTCATTCCCTCCATAATGAATTCTTGGAAAAGCTTATCCTCATTACAATCCCTTTTTCTTTGAACTTCAGTTGATTTGATGCACTTGTTTCCTGAAATCATTGAAAACAAACAGAAAAATTGGTGGTGACTCTTCATAGACTGCCAAAAGAACAAACGTAGGTGTCTTGGAAAAAGTGCAGCCAGAGTGCTTCTTGGAGGCAAAGATAGCAGAGTTTTGTTTTTTTTATACTTTGGACGTGTAGCTGGGTAAGACTATTCCTTGGAAAGTGACTTCGTGCTTGGAGGGTCAGCGAAGGAGAGGAAGACCCCCAACGAGATGGGTTGACACGATGGCTTCAGCAGTGGGCTCTAGTGTGTCAGGGATGATGAGGATGGCACAGGATAGGACAGGATTCAGGTCGATTGTTCATAGGGTCAAAGGCACGTAGCAATAACAATTTTCATGCTGTGGTTTAAACCACTTCTTTTTTTTCTTCCCCCTCTATTTTTCTTTGGTTTGCATATAATTATTCATATACATTTTGTTTCATATAATATTTTATATACTGTGTATCTTCCATAATTATTTACTATTAATCTATGATTGCAAGGAGGTACCAGTCCTCGGAGAGGGCCATCATACTTGGAAGGGTGGAGGGACAGTGCAAGAGAGGAAGACTCTATGAGATGGATTGACTCAGTGGCTGGCGTTGGCACAGGATAGAGCAGGATTAAGAGCTGTTCTACATAGTGTTCCTATGAGTTACAGACAACTTGATGGCACATAACCACCACAACCGTATCTTTTCAAGTCCTCACTGACTTATCTATTCTTTGAACCCTTTCCCTGCCCACTAAACCTCTGCTAACTAGTGATTTTCTCCCCTTTCCTTTTTTATGCCCCCTCTTCTCTCCTTCCCCTTTTGAACATTTATACTATCTTGCTCATCAAGTGAGATCTTATGAGCGTTCACACAATTTAATTTCCTGGAAAACTCTCTGCATGCATCATGTATGCATTCTAACTTTTTGTGTCTTTTCAGACTGAGTGAATAACTAGGTCTTTTGTTATGATAAGATGGCACCAATACTATAAATTATATTTTAGCAATCAATAAACCTCTTAGGAATGTGCCCATTTATTCTCAGATGGCATAGTAACAAGTGGATAATAAGATGCAGAGAAAGCATTCTGAATTTCAAGTCTATAACCAAATTCAGTTGCATAAGACACTGTAGATTTATTACTGTGTTATCCTTCTATCATTTATCTAATTTTCTAAATCATTTATCTAATTTTCTAATTAAGTGTCAGTGGTCCAGAAGACAAAACACACATTTGTTAGCTAATGCAGGAAATACCTTGATATTTGGAGGAGTTTTGTTCTACTGACTCTTTCCCAAGTCAGGCTGACATAAGTCAAAGCCCTCATTTTAAAAAATTCATTGTTATAACCTTATATTGTCAATATATTTATAAATCACAACTTAGAACACCTGTGAGTGAATTTGGAAAAATTATAATATCAGGAAATTGTATGCTGTGACACTCTATATAACACATATTAGTAATGACAGTAAATAAAAAAAACCCCACCCTATAAACCAAATAGATGGTTGCTAAGTGGAGTTCATCATAAATACATTGTAAATCAAGACTTATGAATTGATAAACATTAGTCATGTTTCTCATAGTCTTTTTAGTCACAACTATATAACACGTCTATTGCCTATGTTTCTTATGTTCCTTTGAGAAGGACTTCCTAGCATTTAAAGGAAATTGATACTCAATAAAGACACATTACGTTCCATGTTGACTACTTAGCATCGATGCCACTCATGTCAAGGGTTTGCCAGCAAATGCATGAGGGCCAGGGAAAGAGTAATGTACACTAAATTCCTACTTGTAGAATCAGTTTTTAAATTTTGCTCCCTAAATGGAAAAGAATGAGGAATGATACTTATTAGGCACTTCTGAATTGGAACCAGCTCAAACTGAGCTACCATGCTTTGAGGTTGAAAAATCTTGCAGGAGATGGCTCACTTCTCTCTCAAGAAACACCAGGCAGGTTCCAACCACTTGCCTTTGGGTTGGCAGTGTCACTTCTTATCCACTCGTCTACTAGAGCTTCCCAGTGATTGTTGAGTAGGAAAAAAACCAAACAAATTAATGCATACTGATGAGATAATTAGTCTGACAGATTTAACATACTGATGGTAAATTGAGCTTCATTTATCAGCTACATTTCCCCCCTTTTTCTATCATTTTTAAAAATTGATTTTAATGAAAGTTTACAGAGACTTTGGATTTCCATTCATTCATTGTTGCACTTTTCTCCCTGCCTACCCTCACCCCAATTCTCTTTTCTCTTTGAAAAGTAAAAGAAAAAATTCTTTCATTGTTATTCAATCCCTCCCCCCAAGTCCACTCCACTATGCTACCTTCGTTCTGGACTCCTGTCATAACAATAATATCACAAAAAGACAAATACGGCATAATGCCACTGTTATAAAAAGAGGACTGACATAGGGGTTGGGGGGAGACTGAGAAAGAAGGGATAAATAATGTTTAGTTGTTTGGTTTTTTTTTAACTTGTTTTTTTAATTTCTGTGGAGCCAAGCAAACTAAAGCTGTGAACAATCTCAATCTCTTCACCATCCATCCTGATGCTGCCACTTGGTCCAGTGGTGAGAATCTTTGTCTTCTTGACATTGAGCCTCAATCCATATTGGAGGCTGCAGTCCTTGACACTCTGCAGCAAGCGCTTCAGGTCCTCCTCAGTTTCAGCAAGCAGGGTTGTGTCATCTGCATAACGCAGATTGTTAATAGATCTTCCACCAATCCTGATGCCACACTTCTCCTCATAGAGCCCAGCCTCTCAGATAATCTGTTCTACATACAGGTTGAAAAGGTATGGAGATAGGACACATCCCTGGCGTACACCTTTCCCAGTTTGAA